CCTTTTTGGATTTATAAAATAAAAGTCAAAAATAATTGTTATTTTTTTAATTTTACACAAAAATTACAAATATATTTTTTTTAATTTGATTCTCGGTGAAAAAAGAAATCGATTGGTATATATCACTTAGTTGTAGAACATTTCCTTCATAGTGAATTTTTCAATGACAGTTTTCATCAATAACTGTTATGTTCGGTCCCTGGCAAAAATGCAAAATTTCGCTAGATGTCGCCAACCGTAAGTGGTTTGAAATTTTTAGAAATGATTTCAGCTCTGACCAGAAATTTGGTAGGTAGATACAGTACGTTGCAGTATTTGCCGCAAATATTTAAGTGACGTAATTGGACCTTTAGGAGAATGGCCTCTATGATACAATGAAAATTTGAACGGAGACCATTACATATTCGAAGAAACGCCGCAAGCCGATTACGGAATGACGAATGCAGCTAATTTCAGAGCACGAGAGTTCCTCAGGTTTGATCAGTAAATGCGAACCAAAATATTTCACCCAAGCCTCGCAAAAGCTGGGTGGTCTAATAGAGAGTGTTTAGGTGATGCCATCCCATCATCATCTTGACAGCTGCGACTGGTCGAATCAGGGAAGAATACTAACCTTGACTTATGAATAATAACCAATCGCAAAGTGGCCTGTAGGAACCCCCACCTGCAGCGAAAGCTGCGATTTTTCAGCAATATGAAACTCCTTTTCCCGCCTTCCATCCACAAGAAGCTGAAATGATCTTAAAATTGTGTTTGTGCTTATTTTTTTGAAGCAGGTATCGCTGAGCTGCCAAAACACCCAATCGTTCAAGAGTGAATATAAGAAGGTCAAAGATGCCCTCAGTTGCTTCCGGTGATAGCATTTCATGGGTACCTTTTCTTCCCAAGTCGCCAGTCATGCTTCGCGGTTGAGTGGGTGGTCAGACATTCTCTGAGCATTTTTGATTGCACCACCATAGCATTCACGGCTCCAATAGCCGCTTGACAATAACAATAGATTTCCATCTCCCTCACTGACCCCACAGTCCCCACTGTGTTCACTGCTTCTTTAATGGCAGCTATTTCCGCCTGAAAGGGATTGGAGCAGTCCGGAAGCCTGAACTTCGTTTTGAAGTAGAGCCTCCGGCAGAAGACTTCTGCGCCAATCTTACTTTCAAGTTTTGATCCATCCGTAAGGAAATGTGGAAAGATAAGAAGCTACTGGGAACCCTATTGGAGGCGCGGAAATCTGCATGATCAGAAATTAAATCAAAGACCTCCAGAACTACGGAGTGAGTTAAACAATTTTTGTGTCTGTTTTACCATGCCGTTACTTTTACAGATGTCTAAATAAGATGGTTGAGCAGTCTACTCTTCACTTCGTTTAGGTGCCGGGGCATCGTAACATACCGGGCAACGAAAAGACAGACGAACTTGCAAGAGAGGGCATGTCCGCTCCACTTTTGCACCCCAGGAAGGGTTTAGGCCAGCCGCTCGCTATTTGCAAGCTAATTCAATGGGATCTATCTCTTAAGCTAGCAAGGGCTAGTCTCACCACTTGCAGCAGTGCGACACTTAAGTGATCGAAACGTGACGGTTTCCTCATGATGAGAAGAGGATACTTAGCCGTAGATGTCGATTTACTAACAGGCCATGTTCCGGAGAGTTTAGAGGTCCCCCATATGGATTCTGAGGAAGTTGCAGCAAAGAAGAAGAGCCGAAAACCTTGCGGCACCTGAAGAAGAAGGCGAAAGTTCATGAGTTCAGGATTTTTCGAGGACTTAGCCGAAAAAAGGCGTACGAAAACTTCTGTGTAACTTTGAGTAGAACGGTATCACAACGGACCCGTTAAACAAAATAGGCA